ACCTCCTCTCACAGACCCTCCCGTGGTGTGGTGAATGCTTTTTGCTTTTGCGGATTGCTTGGCAACAGGCACAGGATCCACGCACACACACAGACGCATATGGAGGCACAGGTGATATTTTGAGGGGCCTCATCCTCCCCGTTTTCGGTCGTTTCCTGCAATTCTGGGACGGGGCGCGAGCGCGTACCGTGATGCTTACCCCTGCTTCCTGTCTCGGGCCTTTGTTTCTTTATTATTCTTCACTCCTCTCTCGCTCTATTTTTTTCTGTGATTCTTCTCTTTCCATATGTCGCTGCTGTTGTTTGTGGCAGCAGTGGGCAGTGTGCGGCGATGGACGACAGGTGGGACGTGGAGGACACCCGCCGTCCGCGCCGCGCCAACCGNTGGGCAGTGTGCGGCGATGGACGACAGGTGGGACGTGGAGGACCCCCGCCGTCCGCGCCGCGCCAACCGCGGCAACCTACTGCCCGAGCTGCTCGAGAAGGGCCTCAACTCGGAGGAGGAGGAGCTGCTGCACGACCTCAGCGACGCGACGACGGACAGCACCTTTAGCGCCAGCGGTGAGGAGGCGATGGACGAAATCGACAGTGACTTCTCCGATGAGGAGGAGGAGGGCGTGCTGGACGGCGCGGTGGTGGAGACGGAGGCGATGGTACAGCGTGCCGAGCGGGAGGAGCGGCGGAGGGAGCGCCAGCGTGCACACCGCCGCGTGGGTGGGAAAGGCGCGGCGGCATCCGCGGACGCCCACAAAACGGCCGCGTTACGACTGCGGCCACCGCCGACCATCCCACTGGAGGAGCGTCTGCGAGCCGCACGTAAGCGTGCGCGTGAAGTGCGGGCAGCCGCTGCGGCCGCTGCAACAGAAAACGTCGAGGCGGAAAAGAGGCACGACACCGGTGCGTCGCCGTACAACGTTGGGGCGTCCATCACAAGGCGACGTCGCACGCACCATCGCACAAAGACGGGTCAGCAATCACTGTTGGGAGAGGAAGGAGAAGAGGAGGTGGCGCAGCGCGTTCTCTACACCAGCAGCAGGAGTGTGCTGGATCAGTTTGGTGTGCCGCTTGTGATATCATTCTCCAACTGTCTGCCAAGACTGTTCCAGTCACGGTCATCCAGCACGTAAAAGAGTTTCAACACTCCGTACATTTGGATTCTCTTCTTCCAACTTCTCTGTGTTTGTGATTCCGCAACCAATACTATATATTTTCTTTTTTTTTCTCTTTGTAAAGACAGGCAACCCAAGCGACTTGTGACCATGACGATGAGTGTGCGCCACGTGCCGTTCGTGCTGGCCGCTCTGCTGTGCGGCGTGTGTGTGGCGGCTGCGGAGGCGGAGGTTGGTGAGTCTTCAGCTGTGGAATTTAAAAAGATCAATCATTGTGATACTGTTTCAGTCGTATTTCTCTGAAAACGATGTTGCGAAGGTCGTAGATTATACTTGGAGGTGGGTTTAGGAGGCGAAAGCAGTGATGTTTGCAGTGGAGGCCGCCAGAAACGCTATTAATAAGGTGCGTGATGCAGCCTTATGTGCTGAAGAAGCAAAGAGAGGCGTGGAGGCGGTGGCTGTAAAGGTTACTGGTGCACTGAGTGCCACTAAGAGGGCCAAGGTGCACGCTGCGGAGGTCAGGGCGCTGGGTGACGGGGCCGCTGCTAAGGCTGCTGTGGCGAGGAAGCTGGCGGAGGGCGCGGCACAGCAGGCCGCTGGTGGAGCTAAAGTGGTTGGCCAGGCGGACGTCACGGCGAGAAAGGTCACGGATGAGCTGCAGGGGGTGGCTGGAAGTACAGGTGCGCAGTGCTCTGTAGTGCACTGAGGAGGCAAAGAGTGAGGCCGAGCAGGCAGAGGCGGAGGTAAAGGTGCACTGGGAATGGCGGTGGCTGCGAGGCAGGTTGTGGATCTCATCATAAACCTCATGAGCGCAGCAAAAGAGAGAGCTGAGAAAGCGGCGTGAGGAAGTGTGTAAGTTGTAAAACAAAAAAAAAGCAGTCGAGTTGTGGAAGACGGGCAGCAAGGGATGGATTGTGGGAAAGGAAACAAGCCAGAGAGGATTGCAACGAAGGCAGTGAAAGATGCAGATAGCAATATGCCGGGCGGCGCAGAGGTTGGTAAAGGCGCATCCAATGTCCGACTCCGCTGCCCTGATGCTTAATTGCTCACACAAAGAAAGCGATCATATCATTTCGAAAGCCGGGGAGCAGAGGGTGGTGTTGACGCGGCAACTCGGGACCTCGATACTGCGAAGAAGCAGGGTATAGTGTGGGTAACATTGAGGCCGACAACGCCGACAAAAAACTGGCGTGGACGCATTGGCGGCTGCTGATACGGTCGCTACGGAAGCTGCTGGGGAGAGCCGCAGGGCGGCCAGCCCGATGGAACTGGCAACGCAGGAGTGGCAACGGGCTTCCAAGCTGAGTAACGCTGCATTTGCGCCTCTGGATGGCAGCGGCAGCCCTGTGTGGGCTCGTGCACCGCTGATGCTGCTGCTGCTGCTGCTCTTAAGTTCGTTAAGCAGCTTTGCAGGGTGCGAAGCATGATATTTGTGTAACGGGGATGTTCGTTTGATTATGTCAAACGGTGCGTTGCGAGTTGTTAGTTGATGGGATCTGTTTTCTTGTTTTTTTTTGTATTTCTTGTTTCGGTCTCTTGGTCACCTGTAGGTTGCGGTTCTTATGTCATCTGGAGCGCAACGGGCAGGTGGGCACACTTTTGGATTTTCCTTGTTCTTTGATTCGTGGCGCCGTTTGTCCTCCTGATGTGTCGTGAGCCGGTGCGAGAGTGTTATCGTCTCTCTTTGTTTCCGCTCAGTTGGCGGCGTGCTTCGCCTGGTATTGTTTTAGCAGGCTTGTGCGGGGCAGCTATTAACGTATTGATTTTAATTGTGTTGTTGTTAGGGCTTTTTTTTTTTTTGTAAGGCTCAATGTTTTGAGTTGTGTGCTTTTGTTTTCCTTCCGTTAATCCTCCCCCTTGCTCTTCTACCTTCTCTCTTGCGCCAGCAGTTATAGGTGCCGCGGCGGTATTCCTTTAGGCTAGGGCAGAATGCTCCGCCGCACACGCGCCGATCAGCACCGCAGCGGAAAGGCCCGCGCCTTTGTTTTTCGCGACCCGACGCTGCGGATGATGCGGACTGGTAGCGGCTACCAGCAGCTGAAGCGCATGGGCATGCCGATTCAGGTGGGGATGGGCTGGCGCAAGGTGGACAGCTTCCATGCAAACAACCAGTACCAGCACGCGTGGCCGCTGTTGTCACACGACGATTTAGGAAACAGCGATCAGTCAAATAATACAAAGAACATCATGTACTCCATGTACATGCCGAAGCGGAACAAGGGAACGGCGCCGTGGTTTCGTGGTGCCGACACATACAGCGTAAAGTACTGTGAACAGGGACGCTATGAATATCAACGCTACTTGATGATCAACCGATTCCCAAGTGAGTACAAGAAACACTTCCTTGGGTTTCTCTCTAACATCCGCAGCAGCTCCGGATCCGCAACGATCCCCCAGGAGGCCCTTCACTGGCTCCTTCGAATGATTGTCGATAACTTCAACCCGCAACACGTACACTACATTGCGGCGATGAAGACACTTCAAAACGCTGGAGAGTTGGACATGGCGAGGGATGTATGGAAGGTCATGGAGCGTCAGCAGACGTGGCCGTGCACCTCTACTATCTGCGCCTACCTTGATGTGTGCGTGCAGGCAGGGGAGAAGGCCTGGGCGATGGAGGCGTGGAATCGCTATTGCACGGAACTAAAGTTTCTGCAGCTGGGCGAAGTGGACCCGAAGCCCGTCTCACGTGTGCCTTTTTCCCTCACACGTGAGGAGCTGCTGTATCTCCCAAAATGGAAAAAGCACTTTGACCATGACCCCAACCTCGATGTCGTTGATCTCAACCGCTTCAACAGAACACGCGAGGTGTACCTCCGCATGGCTCTTGTCATGCTGGCAGGTGGTGAGCGCGACATGTTCCAGCATTTCTACACCAAACTCGAGGAGGCGATGTTGAAGACACCAACGCCGGTGCCGGAGCCGCCGAACCCGCACCTTGTGCAACGGCCGAGGTGGTCGCCCTACGAGCACTGCAAATCTGTTCACCACTCACCGTGGCGGGTGGCGAACAATGGACGTGCTATGGCCTTAGGCCCTTCCGTTACGACCGAAGACGAGATGCAGAGCCGCTTCTTCTCCAATGATCAATTCTTGGTGCACACTGTGAAAGAGATGCTTCGGGTGGTGTTGCAAGGGCATCGACGTGCCCACCCTGCCGCGGTGGAGCGTGGTGGAAGTGAAGTGTTCTTTGAGAAGGTTGAGGACGCAGATGAAACGTTGAAATTGTGTGATGAGTTTGTGGAGCGGCTCTTTACGACGCTGGGGCGCAAGATGCACAGCCTCCAGACCTCCTCTCTTGTGTCGTCCATCCTTGAGGTTCATCGCGTGGTTGGGAAAGAGTCAGGGAGTGCGCTTCTTCGCCGTGCGAACCAATTCATGGCGCGGAAAGCCGCACTAGAGGGTGACAGTGCGGTGGAGTCCCTCACGGCGTCGAATTATCTTCAGATACTTTCCGGCTTTGCCGATGAGAGCGCGTATGTGTACGACAGTAAGAGGAAAGGACCGATTCGCTACAGAAACGGGTTTGACCCACGAGCGACAATGCAGCAGCTCGCCGCTGTTGTGCAGGAGATAGCCGGAAACCCACACGTTTCGTGGGCCGCCGACATGCACCTGCAGGTGGTGTGTACCATGGTGGGCTGCGGCACCATGAAGGCGAATGACTATTTTGTGCGCAATGTGCTGCGCCAGTTCTCCTGGAACAGCCGCTTCCTTGAAGAGCTCTACATGGAATACCGCCGACATGACGACGTGGACACATGGGCGGAGTTGACAAAGCGTGCGTTGGTCTGGACGGCCCGCTATGACGTGAAGCCGTCAGAGCGGCTGAAGCGCCTTATCGAGGACGACTACGACGTGATACAAGTGCAGACGCGCACGTTCCGCGAGCTCGCGGTGTTCCAGTTCCGCGATGTGGAGGAGAAGCGGCACCGGCGCGACGCGGTAAATGAGCTGCCGAACCCGTGGTCCGACTACGTCGCCCACGCGCTGCCGTTCCCCGACCGCGACGCCGGCTACCCCGACGAGTACGGCGACATTGGCCAGTGGCGGGCGCCCGGCGGGCCCGGTTCGCCGGTGCGCGGC